GTAAAGTACGTACGTAACGGTGTACGTAGTAGTACGTAGTAGTAGTACGACGTAGTAGTACGTACGTACGTACGTAGTAGTAGTAGTAGTAGTAGAGAGAGAGAGAGAGAGAGAGAGAGAGAGAGAGAGAGAGAGAGATCACAAAACAACTACACTTCAGACACCATAAATAGAGAAGCAATTTCGTATTCTGATGGTAATCTGGACGCATGCACACACTTGAGTGAGAATACAAATATGGAACAGAGTTAAGTACTCAATAATATATAAAGCACCTTACTTTGTTCAGATGTGATTGCTGATTTAACGCTCGTTCGAAAGAAGATGCTGCCATTTTTCTGGTAAACAACCTAATAAAAATCCAAATCCAATAAATACCACACACACATAAAGCAACACGTATTATACTGATCAAGTCCTTATTACAAATAGAAAACTAAAAATGTGCATATCACACAGCAGGTATTGATGTAAATGCATTTAAACCATCAAATTTTATAACCCACTCAAATTAAAGTGACTCATATACAGATATCTACTCCATACATATGATGACACCTTCCTCCTATCCCGTGTGTCTTCGATCTAGAAACACCATTGCACCACAGTACTTCCTATCTCTGCCATTTTTGGAAGTGTATATAAGTTTTATTGAAGTAAAAGAAACAGTAAGATTGATGCCTTTGTGCAATAAATAAACAAGATATTTGATTCTGTGCGTGAGTCAGAGAGAGAGAGAGAGAGAGAGAGAGAGCGAAGAATTCTTCAACTTGATTCTGTGCGTGAGTCAACTGCCTCAACTCTTAATCCATTCATCTACTCTTCATAGACTTTACCATATAACTGTAAAAAATAATCTACCAGTGCCATTTCTTTTGATATGCATAATAGAAGCGATCAAAAGTAGTTGATTAGTCAGAAAAGGTAACCTATTAAAAACTGGAGAAGAATGAAATGCACAATGAATTTCCCATGTGTATTAGTCTCTGTTTGCAGATAAGTTGAACTTTCTTATTAGAAATTGCTAAAATAATAGTCTTGCGCCACCACATAAAATAGAAAATGTCATCCTACATGACATTCTACAAAGGATATACTATTGTGTCTTATATATTGCTTTATTGTCACATGTCATTTTCTTAATGAATGATATTTGTTAAATTGACAGAGAAGAGAGAGAGTAATATTCATGCAAAACTAAATACATATGTTTTTCACACCCTACAAATCGTAGGGCAATGTGCACCATATATACACATATTCTTACATGCAAAAGAATTGCAACCATTACAGAAGGAGTTACAATAGCTAATGCAACAGGTTCCAATGGGCATGAGGTCCAGTATTCATAGGAATTGCAGTTAACACCATAACAGCCAGTTCATGAGGCCCATAAAGTATAGGAGTTACAGCTATTACATAGGTTTTAATGGGTATGAGCCCATAACAGTAGCTACACTCCCCCCTCAAGCTGGAGCATGCATATTATAGATGCCAGCTTGCACAAAGTATGTCCGCCAATTGATTATCGGAGCGAATAAATGGAGTACATTTTGTCTTTGATGCGATCTTTTCTATGACAAAGTAGAAATCAACCTCAATATGCTATGTTTGTTCATGAAATACTGGGTTCAAGGCCACATAAATTGCCATTTGATTATCACGACGTAGAGGAATAGGAATTGATGCATTAACACCCATCTCTTGAAGAAGAGAACAGAGCCAAATTATTTCACATGTAGCACTTGCCATTGCTCGATACTCGGCTTCTACTGAAGATCGAGCTACAACACTTGGCTTCTTACTCTTCCAAGTGACAAAATTACCACCCACTATTATAAAGTAGCCACGTAGATGGTCAATCCCAATCCACATCGAAGAAACCTTGTACATCAAGATGACCATGACTAGTATAAAGTAGCCCTCTCCCTAGAGTAGATTTTAATTGTCGTAAAATGCGATAAACAACCTCCAAATGATGGGGGCATGGAGTGTGCATAAACCGACTTGCCACACTTACAACATATGCAATATCTGGCTGTGTGACAGTCAAATAAATAAGTCTACCCACTAATCTCTGATATACACTCTGAAAGTTGATCGTATAGTTGTGATTAGCCTCTATAGGAGATTCTACTAGTTATGCTCCAAGCATTCTTGTGTTATTGAGGAGATCAAGAGTATACCTTCGTTGAGACAAAAAACTCATTGTTTAGACTTAGCCACCTCTATCCAAAGGAAGTATTTTAATGGACCAAGATCCTTAATGTCAAAAACACCCCCCGAGAAACTCTTTCACTTTTTAAATTTTGTGATCATTATTTCTTGTGAGCACAATATCATCCATATACACTATTAGTATTGTGGTAGAACAAGATTTTCTTTTAACAAATACAGAATGATAAAAAACACTCCTTTGAGCACAATATCATCCATATACACTTCCTCTTGCTAATCTCCATGGAGAAAAGCATTCTTCACATCTAGTTAGTGGGGTGGCCATTTCCTATTTGCTGTAATAGATAAAAGTACCCATACTGATTTCAACTTGGCCACAGAAGCAAAAGTCTCCTCATAATCAACCCTATATAACTGTGTAAAACCTTAGCCACCAGACGAGCTTTACCTCTCAATCAAACCATCTGGTTTGTGCTTCAGGGTATACGCCCACCTACATCCTACCATATGTCCTTTTGGCCGATCAATTACATCCCAAGTTCGCTACTTCTCTAAGGAAATCATTTCCTCAATCATGGCTACTTTCCACTATGGATGAGCCAATGCATTTGCAACTTTGGTTGGAATAGAAGAGAGGAAGTAGAGAAAAGGTATACACGAAAAGAAGGTGAAAGTGAAGCATAAGAAACAAAATTACTGAACGAATGAGGAGTACAATTCCTTTTTTCGTTTCTTATGGCAAAAGTAAATTGAATTAGAAGGTTTAGGGGTAGGAGGAGAAGAAGTATCTGACAAGTCAACGAATTCGAGGTGATCGTCTACATCAGACTTTCCCTTGTTCTTTTTCTGGACGTACACTTTAAGCTGTTTCCAAGTAGATTCCACCACTTCCTTGGTTGGATTTCTGGAATTATCCGTGATCATTGGAAGAGGAATAGCATTGTCGGCCCCAGCATATGTTCAAAGCAAACACAACCAAAAACATTTTGTGGATGAAAAAGCAAAGGAAGTATATGGTGGAGAAGTTTGAAAGGATAAGAACTATCAAGAACAAGTGTGGGCATTTTATTGACCATATATGCAACAGTAAGAACCGCTTCATCCCAATATGTCTTAGGAACCTTCATTCCTATTAAGATGCCTCTCACCACTTCTAACAAGTGTCTATTTTTTGTTCTGCCACACCATTTTGTTGAGGTGTATAGGAACATGATGTTTGTGTTTTTATACCATGTTCTTGAAAATAATTCTTTAATCCATAGTTTGGATACTCTCGTGCATTATAAGAATCGAATATTTTTATTTGGGTCTCAAACTGGGTATGAACCATTTTATGAAATATTTTTACCATTGAATGTACTTCATTCCTACTTTTCATAAGATGGATCCGAGTATAACGAGAGTAATCATCAATGAATGAGATAAATACCAATATCTAAAAACAAAAATAATTGGAGCAGGTCCCAAACATTAGAATGAACAAGATGGAAGGGCTTAGAACATTTATTTGCACTAGTAGAAAAAGTGGTCCTACAATGTTTAGACAATTGAAAGGTCTCACATTGAACTGAGGAACATTTAAAGAAACAAACTTATCTTAAAAAAAATAACTTTAAAGATTTCAAAAACATCTGGCCTAAGCGGGTGTGGCACAAGAGGACTTGCTCATGACTACGAGATTCAGTGCTAAGTGCAGTAGAAATGCATCCCGTGTTGAATAGATAGAGCCCATTGTCTTAATGGCCACATCACCAATCATCTTTCTCGTTTTCAGGTTCTGAAAAACACAGTGCGAGGGGTAAAATGTGACGTTGCAATTTAGTTGCTTTGTCAAGCTGCTAACAGAAAGAAAATTGGAAGGAAAATAAGGAAGATGTATTACAAAGGGTAAGAAAAAGGATGATGAAAGCTTATATGTACCACTCCCAAGGACATAGGTCACGAATCCATCAGCAAGTTTAACTTCACTTAAAGTAGGAGAAGAAGACAAGAAACAGACTTTCTTACCAGTTATATGGCCAGTAGTCCCTGAATCAATGATCCAGGGTGTAGAAGAGATGGAGTTGGAGGCATGGTTTTTAATGGCATATGTACATGGCTGCTCTACTAGTGTCTTAGAGCTGAGTGAGGCCTTGAGAGCAGTCAACTGGTGTTATAAATCTTTGATAGCATGATGACTTGGATCGGATTCATTAGGCTGTGGGGCTGAGGTTTCCTCCTCGTCTTCCTTGGTTTCGGTCTCAATTGTGGATGCAAGTCCCAACAGTGCTCTCGAGTGTGTCTCCTCTTATCACAATGGGAGAATTTGAGTTTCTCCTTTTCATCAGAAGAAAGTGGGTATGATTTGGTCCTTTCATTTATGCTTTTCCTTGCTTGAAGCTTATTGGAAAGGCTGATTGATCACAATAGATGCTTGAGTTTTACCCTTCTATAATATCCTTTCTCCTAGCCTCCCCTCTTACATAATTATAGACTGATTCAAGAGAGGGCAATTTGGCCTTTCCTAGAACTTGTACTCTTCGAAGTTCAAAGTCAGGATGTAGGCCTGTTAAAAACTCAAAGATCCTTAGGTACTCGGCCTGTTTTTTAATGTCATAAACAGTGGGATTAATAGAGGCTGATAGTAGTCTAGTTCCTCCCACTTATATCTTAATATCCCAAAGTACTCTTCCACAATCATTTCTCCTTCTTGCAAATTTTTTATTTTATGATGCAATTAGTAAATACTAGCCATATCATCTCGTTGTGAGTACGTCTAGGGCTGTTGTAAGTCATGGATATCCTAGCGTTTCAAGCCCTAATATGAAGTAAATACATATATTTTTCACACACTCCAAATCGTAGGGCAATGTGCCCTATATATACACATATTCCTCTGGGGGTTACATTATGGGTAGGTCAACATACAAAAGAATTACAACCATTACAGGAGTTACAATAGCTGTTACAGAAAGTTCTAATGGGCATGAAGCATGAGGTCCATTGTTCATAGGAGTTGCAGGTTTTAATGGCCATGAGCCTAGAACACCATAACAGCCACTTCATGAGGCCCATTATGTATAGGACTTACAATTGTTATATAAGTTTTAATGGGCATGAGCCCATAACAGTTGCTACAATATTAATAAGCCATTCCATTTAGTGTCTTCGTGATGTTTGGAAAATTAGTTTAGTTCACGGCTAATTGAATAATCTAATAACTAATAATTTCTCAAACCCATTATACGACATAGATGTCACCTTTCTTTGGAGTTCATGGAGTTCTTCAGATGTTGCTCCAATAAAAAACTCAACTGCCATGCAGTTTGATAAATGTTCAAAGATTTTGAAACATTTAGGATATCAGATTGTCCTTTTTATGAACAAATCCAATTTGCTATATATTTCTTCTATTGTTGTAATCTAAATATTTGACATGCATGTCTCTCGGCTCTCCAATCAAAGATGTATGTTCAAAAGTCTAAAATGAACATGTCAACATTAGTTCTTTTTATTTATTGTCAGATCATGTATTCCTCAATACATCTCGACATAAATCTTTACTTAATATATGCACAAGAATCTCAATCTACTCGTTTCAATTTTACTATATTTCAACTATATGTTGTTGAAATAGACTTCCACAATAAAGCAAGAAAATTATTTATGTTTCCGCATTTGCATCTTAAATATTAATTTTTCACCGCATATAACAAAATCTTCCTATTGGAATTCACACGTATGTACCTTCAAAATATTTTTGTATCAACTCAATTCTACCCAAGAAATTTTCAAAGTGGACATTTTCCAAAGGATTACTTGATGATAGAAGCAATGAAGAGAACAAAGGTTGCAATGTAGGTCCAAGAGTTTTGTTATTTGCATCATTAGCTGAAAGGCCAAGGGACATGCAAGCCAAATATTGGGATGCTATATTAGTAATTAAGAAGTACACCAAGACATATATGTTTAGTACAATGGTATACAATCAAAATGGCTTGAAATCTTGGGAAATTTATCCATTGTGAGAAAGCTGAGTATTTAATTGGAGTAGCCGCTAAAGAACTTGATGAGCTCCAAAAAATGGGACATCCAATTAAATTAAAGTTAATCATGAAGTACCCACTCTTCCAGAACATCACAAAGACATTAATAAAACAATTTATTGATATCATTCAACAGAAGAAAACAATTTATGGCAATAACATAATGAGGAAGACATACAATAGAAGACCATTCATTGAATGTCATGCCACGAGTACTGAAATTTGCAACCAAGAAAGTAGTGACATGGAGATATCAGAACTTGACAAGGCAAAATCATCTTACAAGAAATTCAAATGAGAAAATTTATAACAATCTCCGATTAATAATAATCTCCGATTACTCAAGTACAAGACCCTGTTATTGCTTGTATAATTTACATCTCCTGTGATTATATGTTCTTAGAAAAGATGACGACAAAATAATACTTCAAAGAAAAAGATGACGAAATAATACTTCAATAGAGAATTTATGTATCTCAAATATGATTCCCAACTACTAAATTGATGTTTTATGTAGGCCATGTTAATTGTGTTAGCTTATTATGTACCATGTTAATTGTGACTTTACATTGTTTGTTTGTCAATATTTCAAGTCTATTATGTTCTAAATGGATCAAGACAGACAAGAGAACACATACCAATACTAAAACGCACAAACTGAGGCAACAATAGAACCAGCATGCCCAGCAGGTCGAGCAGGCTCAAGCAAAAATGGGCGGGCATGGTTTGGGTTCCTACATGGGGCATGTAGGGTCAGGTCAAGCCGAAATTTAGGGCCCACAATATTAGCATGCCAGGCTTGACCTTCAATGTTGAGCCTGATGGGACCCTAGTATGTCTTAACAGGTCGGACAGGGCCTGGCACATTAGCCTTTTGTTTTTATTTTTTAATAATGGGGAATATCTAGTAACTCCAAACCATCCATTCTTTGGGCGGTAGAATCGATCATAATAGATGGATTGACAAAATAGTGACTGGCTGAATATTTTTTTAGCTTGGTGAGAATCTGTTTTTGAAAGTCACGAGAGATGAATTCAGGCTATTGGAGCAAACAACAAACATGCTAACTATCAAATTCATGATTCACTGAGTAGTGATTTTGCACCTTTCTTATATACAATTATAGGTTATAGCTGGGTCTTACTTTTTTAAAAGGGATAAGCACATTCAGGGCTTAGTGAGCACTGGCCAGGGATAGGGACTTGGGTAACAGGCCAAGCCTGGGCTGACCTCGGGCCGGCCCACTTCATGCTCTAGCACAAACACGCAACATATTAAATGTATATGCAATTGATGCTGCATATAGAGCACTAGAGGAAAAGACGTCATTTCTCAAGGATATGTTCTCCCACGTAATTATACAGGCCCGTCCAAATCTACCAAAGCATCATGTTTGCACAAGGCGTTTTTTAATCTAATTCAATTTCCTTTATTAGACAGGTCCATAACATTCACTACAATAGAAATAGGGAAATACATCATGAACAATTTATTCCAAATTTATTCATGCAAGCCTAGAGAACACCATATGCTTTCTTTCTGTAGTACTTATAGGAAAATGAAAATATAAAAACTAAGTTCATATTCGGGGAAAAAAATCTACAAAATTCAAAACTATATCCATTGTATATTCTCTCATTTTGTTTAAACTCATTATTTCTTAGATAAATTTTTTACAGAAACTGAAAATTTATAAATAGAAAATAAAGAATGAGATTACAAAATTAATGTATTGCTTATCAATGCTATATACCAAGAAAGATAATAAGATAAAAGCGGCGATTCACATGCTAGAAGACTTGGAAATAAATAGGAACCTTAATGTACATCATATCAAGATAAGAATTGTTGGCTTATATCCACTTTTCTCGACAACTAATTTCTGGGATCAAGAACGACCAGCATGCTGCAATGATAACAGTACATTTGGGACAGCAGAAGAGAAGACTGGAGATAATGTTGTAATAGAGTGCCATGGGAATCTAGAACTTTCCAATTTTTGCAAACATATTTGACAGCACAGACTTTCATTTTGGAGATTTTAGTTATTAAGACAATTTATGCAAACATAGACTAACACGTGGTTTATGAAATGTTATGAACCTGTTGATGCAGAATCCAATTATCAAGAATAATTCATTTGATGAAAATTCCAATTATCAAGAATAATGCATTATGCATTTTGCTCATCTTGTTTTCAAAGGCTACCTTTTAATCAATTACCTGAAAGATCCCATTATGCAGGTTCAAAAAATATGACATATGTAATTTAATAAACTTCCAACTAAAAAATCGAGAACATGCATCACACATTTCAAAAACTAGCTAGATCGAAGTCCAATCTCCTTTTTTTTCTGAGAAATGAATGCCGAAGTCTAATCTCAAAAACTTAACTTCTGCTTTTGTCCCATCCACGATTGACCACATCACAAGGATGACTGTTGAACTCCTTCCAAATTCCTAACTACTCTAGCAAAGTTACGTTACATTAATGGATGAAGTTTCCTTGCTTGCTCTTCCATAGTGTAGATGACTGCCTAGAATTGGTTAATTTGTCGCTGTAGATTGAACAGGAAAATTTAAATCAGTAAAGTGCTTGTATCAAATACATTGTTTTATTATTCCATGGTGTTTTGGGTACCATCTATGGTGGCTAATAGAATAGATAGAATGCAGAAGCCAGTTCTTGTGGCCCAAGAGTGGGAACTCCAGGAAAACTACTTCAATACATTGAAAGAAATAACCAAGTCCTATCTTTGCTTTCTTTACGGTGAAAATCTTGTTACAGATTGTCACCAATGGTTACAACGGTTCCAGATCCTTATGTCCCTGCAAGGATAATGTTTCCTACAGCAGTCAATTGAAAATGATCTGAGGAGGTGCTTTGTAAGATCAGCATATGTGATTGAAACACTGACAGCGGTGGATAGGGATCTCCTACTGTAGTATGATGAGTCAGACAGAGAATGTGGAACAGCAATATGGAGATTCCTGGGGCTCAAGGCCATTTAAGTAGGTTCCATGGGAAAGAAACTCATAACATTGACAAAGTTAGTCAAAATATTGACAAAGTTAGTTCACTGAAATAGAGGAGAATTTGGAGGGTCAGCTTCCATACCATTCTGTAGAGAAACTGGAACGAGATTAACAAACACATGCTTCAAAGAGGAGATGCATGATGGACAGAGAATAATATTTGGGTTTAACCATCAACAAAGATATAGAAACCCCAGGGACAGGCTGTCAATTGTCTTGGCAAACGAAGATTACAATCATTCAGAAATGGGTACAAGCAACATGGAGATGGGTAGTAGTTAATTCCACCATGACATTGGGCTTTGTTACCATTTGACTACTTGTGCATGTAGTTTCCTTTCATTAATCTATCTTCTTTTCTCTATGTTGAATTGTATTCTCACTTGGTAATAGAACAAGATGAACTCAAATATGCCTAAACCAATTGATTTTATGGATGGAACCGCTTTATGTAACTAGTTCACTCATCCATGGCTGATCCTGATTCAAATAAAAGATCTGATCCCATATTAACATCATTTCTCTCCGGATCCAACAGGGAGCTATTGATAACCAAAACTTTCATGAGTTATCCCCAAAAATGAGATCGGAAGTGTAACTGTTGAGAAGATTCCCCACAGCATTGACCTACCCAAAAATACACCCTTTAGGCATCTCCAATTCAACCCTTGACCTCCTTTACTAGAGGAGCACATATCTGCGACATGCCCTGACATCTTTAAGAACCAGCATGACGACTATTCAATATCGTATTGACATGCATCATCCCTCTACTCTAACAATAACTCTTGAAAGAAAACAACTAGAACTAACATGGGACACTTATTCTAAATGTTTCTATTAGTCTTAAATGAAATGGTTTTGAGGGGAACAAAAGGCTAGACTTATGTGTCATTCACACCAAAATTCGATATCGAGTTCTTTATCTGTTAAGTAATCTAATAATATCAGAATAGTAGGACATACATCAGCAGAAATAAGAAAAGACACCTTTATTTGCAAAGAGGCAGGAAAACCCACTGTACTTCTTTAAGAGTCGGGGATGAGCCAACATCTGTGATCTTGGGATTATTTACTTAGGTTTCTCATACATTTCCATGAAACGAATGAATTCTAATGATCTTATGGCTTTAATTATTTAATTACCAAGGTTCAGAAACTCATTTTGGGCAAGGGACTTGGCCTTGATTATAATCTGAGTAAATTGGGCAATTCCTGTACAGGACCAAAAAACCCAAGAAAAAATAAAAAATCATAAAAATATGAAACTAAAATAAAATAAAGGAAAAGTAAAATAAAACTAAAAGCCAACTTAAAAGTCCAAATAAGCTTAAAAAAGTATAAAAAATGGATCCAAACAAACTGATTTATACATGGAGAGATTTAAATAGATATATATATATATATATATATATAAAATAGAGATTATGGAAAAAATATTCCAAAAACATCCAAATCATATAAAAAAAGTTATACACCATTTTTATTTTTTTTTAACAAATTTTTGAATTTTAAATTCTTTTATATACCCCGAGTTTTACAGGTGAGTTCGAGTAACTCGCCCAAGTGACTCGGGTGAGTCATGGAACCACGTTAACCTCTTAAGTTCCTCAAGATGAGTCAAAAGTTTAAGACAAACCAAACATTCACAACATTTCATAAAACCTGTATAAATTAATATAGTTATCCATAGGTATTCTTTCATTAATTTTCTCCAAACCAAAGGCCAACAAACACAATTTCCTTTAAAGTTCTATAATATTATACCCACTAATAGGAAACTAAATAAACAGCTAATCATACAGAGCCAATTTAAGAACAAAAATACTACAGAAGACAAAAGAATTCATCCAGTAGTTTCTTGTCTGCGTTGTGGTGATTTTTTAATTACTTACTCGTGAAGATGAAAGGCTATTTAGTTCAGCAATCGATACCTCGTGACTCCTAACCTGAATTTCATAACAAAAGGAAAAAAAAAAGAGAAAAATTAAGTGGCAGTAGATATATATATAATTAAAAATTCAAATAAAACAAGTACTTGAACTGACCTGAACTTCACCACAAAACTACTAAGCATTATAATCAGAGGAAAGACAAAAGCGACTAACAATTTTGAAAGAGAAAAAAAAAAGTAATTAAATACATGGTAAAAGAAAGAATATTACAAATGTAGGAAGAATACCTCTTTGAGAAGAGGGTGTTTTGCTTCTGAAGCCGAGGAGGATTGCGAAGAGGAAGCCATGCGAGCAGAGGAATGAGCTTCATAGGAAGAGACTGGAAGGACTCTTTAATAAGTAACGACCGCACACAAGATACCCCTCAACGTAGTGAAAATAACGAAAACACCCATCCCTAGAACGGTACCATTTACCTTCAAGACCCATAGTAATTAAATACGGAAAAAGTTTATACAAGGATGCAACTTTAAAATGTAGAATTACGAATACACCTCAAAAATCCATCGGAAAAGGTAGTTTTAATGTTGAAAAACCCTTTGATTGATCATTTCGATATCGAGATGTATGATCATGAAAAATAAAAAAATTTTAAATCTCAAAAATAATATATTTTACAACATATTATCTACACCGTCTATTTTCAAGATTTTCATATGTTTATAGATCTACTTGATTTTAACTATTTTTTAAATTTAAAATTTTATAATTAAATATAAAAATAAATTTTGAAATAATCTTAAAACATTTTACATCAAAATTATACATCATGATAAAATTTGGAGGTGCACCTTACCACTACACCTATAGATGCATCCATATGCCAACTGCACCAATTAACCATTGATGTTAAACCATTACACCTACGGATGCATCCGTATGCCAACTACACCCATTAACTATTGATGCCAATTTGATATCATGGTTCAATTTTCTTTGCAATTTCATATCCAATAGTCAAAGTCAATTGTACTAAAGGTAAATAGTCACATGGTATATTTTTCGGGTCTTTGGGTGATTGTTTATATGAACAATCCCTTACGCATTGCTTCAAATTTAGGTCACGGGCCTTTGCACATGCGTGCAGTGTACTCCAGACACAAGCATCCACACTCTCACATTTATTCTACAGTGTACTCCAGACACAAGCATCCACACTCTCACATTTATTCTATGAACATAAGACGTGAAAATGCTTTCATATAAATATCATTTAAACTCCACTATATTCTTGAATGTGAAACTAAAACCCACCACTTTCTCTTGCTATTAAATTAAGAATTTAGAAAAACCATATTTGACACCACATTATTTTGAAATATTAACTAGTATATTTTCAAACATAACAATGCTAACAAATATCTCATGCGTTTTTTATAATTTCAAAAATGTTATAAATATTTCATATTTTATATTTATTCCTCACCTTTTACAGATGTATAGTAAATTGAACTTAAATCTTATGTATCCGTACTTCTCACGATCGTGCATATGTAAAAAATATTAAGTATAATCATATCAAAATAAAATAACCAAACTATCCAAATAATTTTTAGCTATTTTGGTTATTTAATCTATTTAAAATTATTATTTTTATACTTTTTAGGTGCACAACGGCCAGAATTATGGATATTCAAAATTTAAGCTTAATCTAATAATAAAGACAAAAAAAAATTGAAATTTAAAGCGTGAGGTTTGTATAAGGTTGCCTCGTTATACTATAGAAGTAAGGTGCGTTTTGAAATTTTGCTTAGAGATGTAGTTTTGATGAAAGAAACTTTATGATATCTTGAAAATCTATTTTCATCTCTTGCTATAAAATTTAAAATTTAGAAAATGATACAGATCGAGCAAATCAATAAACACTTGAAAATATTGAAAATAGACGATCCAGATAACTTATTACGATAAACATTATTTTTTGGACTCGAAATTCCTTTTTCTCTTCATGTCCATACAGCTTGTTGTTAAGATGATCAATTGGAGGGTTCTCTAATGCCAAGACATTGTGTTATATAGGATTTTTAACATGCACCTCACTTCAATAGTATAATGCTGCAACCATACATAAACTTTTTCTTTTAAACTATTTAGCATCGTTGTGATTCGATGAATTTAAGAACCCCATACTGATTTGTCAGCTCTTTAAAATTTAATCAAATGAACAATGTGCCATTGGAAATTAGATTGAAGAATATGAATGAGAGTTACAAGAAAGAAATAAAAACGAATCTAAAAGTTAAAATTCCACATTAAATTGGGGTAATTTTTAAAAAAGGGATTGAATCGTGGTAGCAGAACCCCAGTATTTAGTTACCACGTTGTGGTTTTCAATCATGCTCATACCACCTAATCACACCCTAAAAAAAATTACAACCTCGTGATACCACCTACTGACGCCTTAAACAAAAAGGTTAACTTCCTAATCTTTCTGGACAAAAAAAAAAAAAAACGTGTACGGCCTATACTCCCCGTTGAATTCCGATAAGAGAAAGTGGGGTGAGTTGGTCATTTAAAGACTTTCCAAGGCATTTTGGCCATTTACGCTATAATTTTTTTCCTTATTTTGTGAAGGAAAAGTTTATATGTGGTTGAGGCCCTTAACAATCAATATACGGCGCACCTCAAAAATTTATTAGAAAAAGTTTTTTCAATGCCAAAAAACTCCCAAATCCGATCATCTCAACTTTGAGATACATGGATGTAAAAAAAATAAAAAAACTTCTTAAAAATAGTGCATCTTGCAATGCATTATATATACAAATAAATTTCAATATTTTAATGTGTTCATAGATATGCTTGATGAGCACTATTTTTTAAGATTTCAATTTTATTATTAGAGATAAAAATAAATTTTCAGACCATCAAAAAGATTTTTGACATTGAAACAACATCGTTCGATATTATCTAAAGGTGCAACTTATTTTGATTGTTTAGGGTGTCAGCTTTATCCAAACCACACCCATTTGCATAACACAATGTCACACCCCTCCATGCTATAAAATTGCTTGAATGTTCACTTGCGTCTCGGTGAAAATGGAAGTCGAGCCTCTCCTGTAGAAAAAGATGAAAATAATATGTTTACATCCTCTATCGATTGAATAGATTGGATTAAGGAGAATCTCAACCCTTGGAAACATAGCCTAGAAAATTTGCCAGTTAATGCAAGGAAACTCAAACCATATAACTTTTCTTGGTAATGAGAAAAGGAGACGCATACATAGGTAGTAGTTTTATGATTTCCACCATTATTTATTAGGGATTATCTATATATAGAGACCGTTTATTTTTATTACAAGGAGGTCACAACTATTCCAACTCATTAGATGTCAAATTGGATGGCTTGAAATGAGCCACGAAGTCCGAGAATTTTTTTTTTTGGAATTTTGTATCTATTCTATGACTCTCTGACAACCACCCATTTGAAATTTAAGGGACATGAATGATTGTGACCTTCATGTACAAAAGGTAAATACTTTTCCTATTTCAGAACTTAGTGGGCTGAATCGTTCACTCCGGATATTCATTTTGTATCGTTGGATCGGCGATCCGGATCGAGCTGGATCGACGATCATTATCATCTTAGTTTTATCTCAACTATTTCACGTCGGCTACATTGTTCTACTGTTATGCTCAATCAAAGGCCAAATCTTTAGTCTTATAAGGGATGCCCATCAGGATTTATAATAGAAAAATATTAATAATAAATAAAATAAAATTTAAACAAGGGTTTATAGGACAGAGATTTAAAAGACTTTGAAAAAATATTAGATAAACTTAAAAAATAAAAAATAAAATAACATGTTACCATTTTGAAACCAATTTGGCTCCTATCGATTTCCATCCAAAATGACAATCCTAATTACGAATCACCAGATTTTAAAACACTGATTTCTGCTATAATCTGCGTCATTATAGAACTCTCGGGTCACAAGCTCCACAATAATCCGATCACAATTGAGAAAGTGACAAAGAGAAAGTAACATCAAATGATCCCCGTGGTGGTTCCCACTGCCTCCCATGAGTCCTACTCATGACCATAACTTTTTTGTAGTCATATTATAGTCAAAAGATTACACTCCCTCGGGAGTATACTGTCTATTAGCTCCCTCAGGTAGAGTCCCATATAAGATTAATTTTAGGATCCCAAAATTTTTGAGATATAGCCTCTTGAATATATTGATTAACCTCAATGAAAAAAATTCCTAATTGTACCCGCTGCACACTTAAAAAAGAAAATTTTCCTGAGATTGAATAAAGGCCGTCCAATTTTTTAAGAGTGAGATCTGTATTGGAAAACTCAAATTTCAAACTTTTATCTTTTGAGAATAATCATCTAGAGTTTCCCAAGATTTCAAATTGAAGAAAATCTTCTAAGTTAGTCCTGTGACTAAGGGAGTGAATGTAAACTATGCTCCTAAGGGAGGATAGTATACATGTCTGTATAGGGTAAAAAAAACAAACCAACGAATGCAAGTAAGAAAATCGATACGCGTTAGCGGCCTTGCTTGCAAGAAAACGATGCGCTAACACCTTTGCTTCTTGCTTTCGAGCTAGCGAAGACAAGCAAGAAGTTATAAGTATGGGTGCAGTTTGTATAAGGTCGAAGCTCTAAACAATCAAAGTAAAGCGCACCTTTAAATAGTGTCAATAATTGTGGTTTCAATACTGAAAATCTTTGTGATAATCTTAAAATACATTTTCATCTCTAATTATAAAATTTAAAGGTTAAAAAATAGTGTAGATCAAGTAGATCTATGAAAACTTGATAATCTTGAAAATTGATAGTCCAAAAACACAGTACAAGATGGGTGTGGTTTCCATAAGGTTGCAACCTTAAACAATCCATTTAAAGCGCGCTTCCAAATTTTATCATAGCATATAATTTTGATATAAAAATATCCTTAAGATTATCTCAAAATCTATTTTCATATCTAATTATAAAATTTTAAACTCCAAAAATGATTAAAACCAAGTAGATCTATAAACATATGAAAATGTTGAAAATGGACGGTTTAGATAATATGTTGTTAAATGCATCATTTTTTAGACTCAAAATCCTTTCTTTTTTCATGGTCATTCATCTCAACATCGAGATGATTAATTAGAGGGTTTTTCAATATTCCAACAACCTTTTTCGATGGATTTTTGCGGTACATCCATAGTTATGCATTTTAAGATTGCAACCTTATATAAACTTTTCCATTACAAGATACACTATTTTCAAAATTGAAAAGCCATTTTTTATCATGCCCATGAATTTTGAGGTCGAAGAGGATTTTTGAGCATCAAAACAACCTCTCTCAGTTCAAAATTTTGGAGTGCGCCCTAATTTGATTGTGTAGAGACTGGCACTTATATAAACTTTTTCCTATAAATATTGGTTTTTCCGCGAGAAGATAAGGTCCATGATCTTCTAACCAAATTCTTGCCTTCACATACAACACTGTACAAGTGGATAAGTCCCCTCAAAACAGATCAACGAAGCAAAAACAGAGGGAAGAAAAACATGGAATCATGCTCAATCTCCAACGCCCCAAATCCAATCCTCCCCAGAAAATTTTCCCGGCGAGTTTTCCCTGCCAACCCACCCAAACTCCGGCCAAAACCCCATCAAATTCCGGCCACAACTCAGGCTCTGAAAGGTCCTAAAGGCTTCGGCCCTTCGTCTCTCAAAAAACCCAAAAAGAAACAACAAAGAGGAGGAGAAGAGGAAGGTTACGACAGCGAAGAAGAAGAAGAAACCAGAGACGATACCATACCGGAAATAGTAACAAATCGAATGATGGGTAGAATGGGTTTCTCAGTTGGGATTCCTCTATTTTTTGGGCTCTTCTTCTTCCCAGTCTTCTACTATCTGAAGGTAATTTTGAAAGTGGATATACCAAATTGGTTGCCATTTATAGTGTCTTTCTTCTTCTTTGGTTCTGCTTTATTGGGGGTGAGTTATGGCATAGTTTCGTCCAGTTGGGACCCTTTGAGAGAGGGTTCTTTTTTGGGGTGGAAAGAAGCTCAGAAGAATTGGCCTGTATTTTGGGACTCTTTAAGGGGCAACAAAGGGAGGAAATAATTTTTCCTTGGAATTTTGGGAGTATTTAATGTTGGGGTGGTGTTTTCTTCTGCAAAAGTTGCTTAGGTGTGTTGGTGTTAAACAATATTTATAGGGGGCAATCTTCCTTTTCTTTTCTTTCTAGTTTTTTTTTTTTGGTGGGTTTCTCTTCTTTGGTGTTGCTAACTTATCAGAAGGAATACAATTCTCTATGGTGTTTATGGATTGAATTGGTTGTGCAAAATGGTCTCTCTGTGTTTGTTTTCTTGGGTGAATATTGCTTTTCTGTTTTCAAATTGAATTAGAGAGCTGAATCTCTCTTTAGGCACAGAACAAACGATTTTACACTTAAAAACTGCGTAGTTGGCAACAGTACTAGAATGCTCCACTCGGCCATGGAGCACTGCCCCTAGCGGAGCCATCGGTCGGAATCAGGCCCAAGCATGCTAAGCCAAAAAGTAGTGTTTAAAACAAAACAAAAATACAAAAAACCCCCTAAAAATAGGAAAATATGTTATTAAAAAAGTAGTGAAAAATGGATTTTGAAAAAAATAGTTTGGGAGGGTGTTTTTAGAAAAAATTAAAAAACAAGGAAAAATGTAAAATAAGTAGTCATGGCAAAAACACTTTCCAATCTTTATCAAAACTATAGAAAATATTTTTAAAAAATATATTATACATAAATTTCTTATTTTTTGTAAAAAAAAATTTTAAAAAAAAATTTTAAGACCCCCAAGTCGAACCAAACTCAAGGATACTCAAACTGACCAAGGTGGTAAATCCAAGTTATTGTGGCGAATTTGAGTCAGCCCGCCCAAGTTTTCCTTCTTTCGTTACGGATTAGTGTCAAAGCTGGATGACGAATCAAATCGATAAAGACAATCAAACGCAAGCTTAATTTAGAACATAGTGCAAGAGAACCAAATGGAAGTTAATAAGAGACAACCAAATGGAAGTTACTAAGAGAGAACCAAATGGAGGTTGCTTGATAAACTAGAAAGAGAGAGGACCAAGTGGAAGTATTTAAAAAGACAGCTTAGAGAGAGCCAAATTGAAGTAACTTTAGAAAATAGAAAGGGAGAGATGAAAGAAATACCTATGTAATTATATGCCGGGGAAATATAATTTTTTTTTTCTTTTAATAATAATCACCGTCTTATTACAAATAATAGAAATTTAAAAAATAAATAACACATCAATAAAATAAATCACAACTACTTGATGTCATTCATACAACCTAATACTGTGCTTGAGAATATAAAAAAAAAGAACAAACAATTAAAAGAAAAGAAACCAGAGATTACCTCAACCGGGCCTTTTACACCCCACACCGAGTCACCACATCCAATGGCGCGGAATCAGCAGTTTAGCTTCAATCTCGAACCGGAAAAGCTAATTTCGGCTAAACTAGGTAATCACCCTTAAATCTCTACAAAACCCTAACTCTAAAATAATTAGGCTCAAACCCTAATTTTCCCCTTAGATTAGATCATAAGAGAGAGAGAGTCTCTATGTTGGGATTTTTAGGAGAGAGAGAGAGAGAAAGTAGAGAGAGAAAATGTTGGGCTTTTAGGAGAGAGAGTAGAGAGAGAAAATAAGAGAGTAGGGAGAGAGGGGTGTGGCCCCTAGGGAAGATAGAGAGAGTTTGTGGGAGAGAGAGGTGTGTTGAGATGGGGGAGAGCACTCCTATTTATAGTAAAATTTAGGTCTAGGGTTTCCCATAGTTTGCCTCTTTATTGATATTGAATATGGACTGTTAATCAAGGTGACTTGTGGGGTGAGAGATCTAAGCCATCCATTCCATAGAT